AATAAAAATTCTAAAACAAGGAAGAAAATAATGGAAGAAGGAAAAATTCAGAATATAAAATAATCTATGAGTACACTGATATTTAGATTAGTTTCAGTAAAGCCTTGTATTTTTAATAAACGTTTTTATTTATTAAGATATAATTCATACACCAATGTTTTAATGCATACAGTTAAGTGCCTTTTAGCATATTCACAGACTTGTGCGGCCATCACCATTATCTAATTTTAGAATATTTTCATCCCCTCAAAAAGGAACCTGGCCCCAGTAGCCATAACTTCCCATATTCCCCTCCCCTCAGCCCTTGGCAATCACTAACTGATTTTCAGATTTACATGGATTTGCCTATTCTGAACATTTCATATAAATGGAATCATATGAGTTCTTTCATACCTGGTTTCTTTCACATTCTCTTTGATACTACTGTACATGGAATTGTTTTCTTCATTTTCAGACAGTTAATATATTCATTGCTAGTGTATAGATATACAATTGAGTTCTGAATATAGATCTTGTATCATACACATTTGTGCTGAATTCTTTCATTAGGTTATTAGTTTGCCTGAGTGTCTCTGTGTGTGTGTGTGTGTGTGTGTGTGTGTGTGTGCACGCATGTATTTCTTAGGGATTTTTATACAGAAGTATAAGTTTATGCCATCTGTGAACAGAGATAAATTTACTTCTTCCTTTCCAACCTGGATACTTTTATTTATTTATTTCTGTTGCCTCATTGCCCTGGCTAGAACCTCCAATACAAACATGAATAGAAGTGGCTACAGAAGCCACCCTTGATTTGTTCCTTTTCTTAGGGGGAAGGATCCAGACATCCCTATCAACTAGGGAATCACATTGTTGTTGCTGTATGCGTGGAGTCGGTTCCGACCCACAGCGACCCTGTACAGGGTTTCCGAGGCTGTAAATCTTTACAGGAGCAGAACGCCTCATCTTTCTCCCGCGGAACCACTGGTAGTTTCAAACTGCTGATCTTGAGGTTGGCAGCCCGACTTGTAACCACTACACTACCAGAGCTCCTTGGGAATCATATTAGCTGTGGGTTTTTCATACAAGTCCTTGAAAAGGTTGAGGAAGTTCCCTTCTATACTATTTTGTTAAGGCTTTTTAGCAGGAAAGGGTGTTGAATTTTGTTAAATGCTTGTCAGCTCCTATTGAGATGATCAGTTGCTTTTTCTGTCCTTAATTTTATTAATGTGTTGTGTCTG